CGCAGGCATCATTCCATAGTCCATATAGATAAAATAAGCTCAGTAAATCTGTGGACTGCTCTTAGTTACAAAAAAAAAAAAAAGATAATTCATTCGTTGCTTTGGTGATGGCGTAACAAATAAAACATATTTTGCGTACTTTGCTTGGGGGGAAAAATTTTGAAATAAGTCCAGAAATTATAGGTTTCTTTCCAAATTGTTATTGGTGATTTATTTGCGTATAATAAAACTTGTGTATTTGATCGCATGCTTAGCAAACTGGGAATGATCGAAATTATTTATTACAACCGTGCTCAATTCATCTCATTATTTAAAAACAAATAATAAAATTCTAATTTCAAAGCGTAGGAATTATTCGCTTCTGTTTTTGCCACATGTTTTTAATGATACAAAAATGTCATTAAACATTCTCGGTTTCCGAGAAATAAGTTAAAAAACATTTTTAACTTATTAAAACGTAATATAATTAGTCATAAAATCCAGTTCAGCGACTTTAAGTTCAATAGCATATCTTTCGTGTAACTTTATCATTATGTTTCAACCGGTTATTATTAGCTTGACCTTGCTACTGCCCGATATTAGATTATAATAGGTTTAGAGATAGGGTGTGTACATGTATATTTTTTTGTATCTTAAACCACTGCTAAAATTGGCTGTAAAGAAGTTGCATTAGCATCTCTCGCAGGGTATCATTACCCGTTCCCGAACAATTAGAACACCAGTTTGCTGGGTTCATGTGTGATAGTCGATTTTACGATTTATTTGACAAATCTACTTACCCGGCGTGTCCTGAACGAATCAACAACTATTGCAGCAGCAGTGACAGCAGAACGTGTTAATTCAGTATATATATATATATTGAGAGTTGTTGACAGAAATATGTCATGACAACGCTTAAACAGCTCGTGATAACGTATATGTGTAGGAGTGGAAAAATAGCAGTTAGTCAGATTTTAATGTGGGACCACCAAGAAGCGCATGTACATTTGAGAAACATGGATTTGGTGTTGTTTTTAATAATAATAAAAAATATTCTATTTTTTTTGTCTAGTGTTATATATATATGTGTGTGTGTGTGTGTTATATCAAATAACAATAACTATGAATAAACAAATGACTGCCATTTCAAGACCTGGCACCCACAAATACCAGGAACAAAATATATGATTTATGTTTGTTTTCTTTATGCGTATTCCCGTCATATGAACTACTCTTTAACTGACCAAGTAAAAGCAAAAAATAATGCATATGAAGCAGTTACAAAAGCTTGCAAAAAATGGACATGAAATTAGCATTTATTCCTTTTATTTTCAAAGAAGGGTAAAAAACGTTTGGTTAATTATTGAACAGGTCAATGATATGTGAAAACTAACGTGAGTAGAGAGACTTATTCCACGAGTCACACGTATTAAACTTGTTAAAAATAACGTGTTTTAGTGATATGATCATAGCTTATGGCATCGATAGCGTACCGATTAACGCTTTACATCCCCAAGCTACCTTTCAAGTTAGCGGGTTTGTTAATGCCTATTCGACTGTGGGAATTGGGTTATCATCGAAACTAACGTCCAAAAGAGAGCTAATTCTAGCTTAGGTTCCATTATTTATTTGAACTAATTTTCTGTATCAAGGACCTTTTTATATACTTTTTTTTTCCAAGAAATGAAACCTAGTTAATTCAGGCCAATTCATTGTGAAAAAAAGAAGGGGGGGGGAATTAAGTGTCTGCACTTGGTTTCTTATCGAAATATATTTTTGACTTCGTATCTTGGATCAAGCCCGTAGTTCTGGAAGTGGGGGGGGGGGTCTTTTTTGTCTAAAATGGAACTCGTTTCATGTGTAACTTTTGTGCCCTGGGCCGAATAAAAAATCCGAACTATATAATGGTTCATTTATTATCACTGTAAGTGAACGTTTCTAGTAAATTTCCTCTGATAAATATGAAAATGTTTTTCCACATGTATGCACTGTGTTACAAAATCAATTAAATAATGAGAGTTTTGTACCTGATGATGACAAAACCTTGTCGAAACGTTGTGCATTTGCTGTTATGTTAAACTTGTATTAAAGTTTTTCTTCATTACCCATTCAAGCCGTCTCCAGCCATTATGAGTAATCATTATGTTTCGTAAGTTGTTAAGCAAATGCAAATACACACACACATATATCATTACGGTAGTTTGTTGGTTTGTTTGTAATTAAGTACAAAGCTACACAATGTGCTATCTGTGCTCTGCCCACCACGGGTATCGAAACCCGGATTTTAGCGCTGTAAATCCGCAGACTGGGGGAGGGGAGCAAGTACGGTAGTACCTAATAGTAGGAATCGTGGCGGCCATAAAAATTACCCGTTTAAAACCACCTTTAAAACGTCTGAATAGTAACAATGACTATTTCACACTATTGGCTGAGCAAAACTAAAGCTTATTGAATATATAAAGCTGTCTAAATCACTATATACGTTTTTATGGAGTGAATAAAAAATGTCACTATTTCAACGAATTTTCAATTAAGTAATATACAAATTGAGATTTGTTACATATGTTGTGCTGATCTTCAGTCATATCAAGTAGTATTCGAGCTGCCTTTGTTTGTTCTATAAATGTATGTATATATATATATCAGTTCTTATGTTTCACAGAATTGTATTCATTGTTTTTGCAGTTAATTGAAACCAAGATTGATTAATACATTTGCATACAGATGGCCTACATAAGAATGGAAAATCTCTCGCTTCTTTAAATGGTGGTTAGGGCGCGGGTTCGAATCCCCGTCACACCGAAAATGCTCGTCCTTTCAGCCGTGGAGACGTTATAAATGACGGTAAATCCCACTATTTTTTGATAAAAGAGTAGCCCAAGAGTTGGCAGATTTGACTAGCTGCCTTCCCTCTAGTCTTTCACTGCTAAATTAGGAACGGCTAGCGCAGATAGCCCAGATAGCCCTCGTGTAGCTTTACGCGAAATTCAAACCAACCTTTGAACGGGACCAATTATATTCATAATGTAGAGCACAAGAATCTTGAAAAAAAATGGTTATGACGTTTGATACCACATTGCGACCAAACCAAAGCTAGCACAGTTTTGGAAGCATTTTACCTATTTCGGGTCCTGCCGAAAAATTATTTTGAATAAAACCAAATCTTATTTGGCCATCACTCTTGTCTCATGTACTTTCCTAAGTTAATAAGATATCGTGTTTTTTTTAATGAGGAGGAAAATATTTGTTCTAAGAGAGATTATTTTTAAACGGAGCCGGGTATGGTCTAATGATTAGTGGGTCTGTGGGTCGGAATGTCCAAGGTTCGTAACGCGACGCCGCTCAACACTCCACACTTTCAGCTGGCACAGCGGTATGTTTTCGGACTTACAACGCTAGAAATCGGGTTTCGATAGCCAAGGTTGGCGAGCACAGATAGCCCATTGTGTAGATTTATGCATACTTACAAAGAAACAAACATTATAAAAACATCAGTAAATTGCGATATTCGGTTCAAAATTAGGTAAAACCCTCGAGACAGCGAGTGCTGACTGGCTGCTTTCCTTTCGTCAGTTGTCCACATCTACCTACAGATATACCTTTAGGGGTCTCTCATCACCTGGCCTTTTTTTCATGTGCACATAAGGTACAGTATAAGTTGAAAACATCACTTTAAACTACAGGTTGTTTTCCTTCACAGACTGTTGCAGATTCAAGATAGAACATATGTAAACCTAAGGCAAATTATCGCTTTGGAGGCCTTGATTTCAATACCAGAACACATCAGGTAGACTCGACTTATCAGAAATGATATGTTTCAGTTTTTTAAAACTGAGTGGAATGTTACAGGTTTGAATAAAAACTAGTAAAGCGTGAAAGTTTTTAAGCCTAAAACACAGTTTCATGTTTAACCAGTCCAGGTACTCAACTCAAAAACATCAGTCGTACTTTCATTTGTCTTGTGCATTGTCGCGTTTAGTATATAGTTCAATTTTATGCGAAAAGTTGAACAACATTATTATGCGTTTCTTTCCTTTTGTGGAAAGTTACCGCCAAGAGTTGATCGGAGGGCTGAATTAGTCTTTTAACAGATTAGTGTAAAACAATTAAAGCTGAAATCAAAAGACAGCACAGCATCACAGTCATTACGAGCTTTTTTATTTTTTTCTTTATTTTACATATATAATTATTGTTCATGTAATTCTTTTTGGATTAGTTTAATACCCCTACGAAAAAAATTAACCTACTACGATTTTGGAACCTCACCACATCGTTACAGTCCATGTCGCCACGTTTTGTTATGCTCTGTCTGACGGCTGTGCAATTTGAAAATAGCCCTACAGCGTAGTTTCCACTGCAAAATATTTAACGTAAGACTGGCACGTCATAAGCACACCACAACTCCTGTTGCTTTCCATAATCTATCTAGTGTACAAGGGCGAAAGTTTCTCAGAGCTGGTTTCAACAGTCTGGTCGCGGAGAAATGTATAGGTGCTGTATCAGGTGTCTTGACCAGTATGTCTTCTCATGGAATAGCATGAATGCCCGTTTCATTCTCCAGTTTCTTAAGGTATGCGATGGTCGATTGAATATGTCATGGAAGAAACTTGTGTACACTTAGCTTTTGTTACATTTCCTGTTATTAGACGCCGCACTTTGCTTACCACGGCATAAATACGACTTACTGCAGGTATCTTTCTGGGTGGTCCTGGTATCCAAAGGTGATCCATATTATTTTGTTTTCTAATGTCTTTAAGTACACGGGATAACCCCTTCCAAAAAGCGATCAATTTTTCACAACATCACTTTGCCTACGAAACGTCAAGCAACGTCAAAGTGTAGTTCTGATAAAAAGCCATTCCGCCGCGACTTTATATCGGCTGTGGCTGTCACGTGATTTACATATTCAGAATAGTTTTAATGTAACTTACTTAACCCTCTATATACTCAAGTAGGAGATTACATGTGGTGGAAGTATGTATTTAGTTTAGGTTTACAACGTATTTGTTTTTTACATGTAGGCTGTAGGAGTTGAAGATGCTACCAATATATTTGGAGGAGACCATAATAATGTCATAAGAAAAGGTAAGTTCTCATTTTATTTATATACTGTCCATTAAAACATAATAAATACGCGAAGGTCAGCTTTCTTTAGAAAATTATACCGTGTATTTGCAACGTAAGTATTTAATTTAAAATATGTTTTGCTTAAAACAAGTACACGTGTATACACTTTGTCAGTATATTTCCTTATACTCTTGAAGTGGTTGTATTATTAAATGTGATTGGAATACAATCAAGTGACCTTGTACTAGGACAATATTAAATGATTTAGTACTGAAACTGATAAGACATTTATTACGAACAGTTGAATTTTTGTGCTTAACCTTTGACAAAAGTTAAGGATGATTTCTATATGAATATTGGTGTATTTTTTCAGATCATTAAGTATTTGTTACTCCAACATAAACTCGTGTTCACTCTGTTATTTTTTAGAACATTTAAATGTTTTTTTTTTGAAAACTAATACAGCAAATACAGTGCAAAAACAAAAACTGCTCACGAAATCTGCCCCAAATGTTGTTGAACAGTCTTGGAGAATAAGGTTCCTTAAAATTAGGTTTAAAGTTGAAATTCTTCTAACTAATTTGGTAATTAATGAGACTAAACGAACAGTTGTAGCTGGTTGTTAAAAATGGTATTTATTAATAATTAATGAAATTGAATACACAGTTGTACTTGGATAACAAAAATGCTATCTATTAATAATTAATAAGACTAAACGTACAGTTGTAACTGGTTGTTAAAAATGTTATTTATTAATAATTAATGATACTAAATACACAGTTATAATTGGATAACAAAAATGCTATTCATTAATAATTAATGAGATTAAATACAAAGTTATAATTGGTTGATAAAAAGATTGTTTATTAGTTATTAATGAGACTAAATATGCAGTTGCGATTGATTGATAAATATGCTATGTGTTAATAATTAATGACACTAGATACACAGTTATAATTTATTCCTTATTCCAAGGCATGCAAATAGTCACAGGTATTTATACTTTTTATAAAAAGTATTAGCATGTAACAGATGAATTAGAGACACGTGACAACTTGTATAAACTTGTATAATTAGGTGTTAAGAAAAGCAGTATAAGGCTATTTAAAAATAAAAATAAAACTTTTTACCCAAAAACATGTATTAATATTTAATAATCTGGTATTTTTTATGACTGAACTCATACAAATGTGTTGAGTGAACGTGTGCAACTGTGTTAAAAAATCCATTCACTTCTGCTACTCCACTCCTGTACTTTTCTGCTTAAACTTTCATCTGATCTTTACGTCTTTTCTTCGTCATGAACTTTCGGTGACTCTCAACTTTCTTCCTTTCCTTCCTCTGAATTACTGGAGGATCGTCACTTCAAACAGGAATCAAATCAAGACACAGTGACAACTACAGAGAAATGGTCATTACAGGTGTCAGCTCACCCTCGGATGTGTTCTGTTCAGTGCCAGGCCGCTTGTCCTTACTTAGCTCCACGTCTAAGTACAAAGTGACCATAGGGGAGATCCAACGCCGACTATCCCCACCGGAGTGCCTCAATGCCTCGTTATTAGGAGGAGTTCTGAGAAGGTGAGTTGTTGTCCCATGTTTTAATATTCATATGTCGTTGCGATTTGAAGATCTGGGATATCTCTCACGCTGAATAGTTCCCTTTTCCTGATCTTTCACCAGAAGTGAACATTAAGGGTGATTAAGACATTATTTATTAACGGAAATATAGTTCTGTTTATTGAAATTTGTTGATGAGAAATGAGGGTGCAAATAATATAACATTTTTTATAAACATAAGATGGAAAATACGCATGTACCATTTTACATCGTACGAATGCGCATCTGACGACTTTTTCTTCACTACTGATTATAACTAACACTAGTGCATAAATACGAACTTATGAATTTACTGAAATGTTTAAGCATCATCAAAAAATATTATTAATATCGCAGTATTGGCAGATCCACAGTACAGTTATGGGGGCATTAATGAAATCACGAGAAGCTTTTAAGTGTTCCATGGCAGTTATTATTAGAGTCGCAAAAATAGAAGATCTGACGTGGTGGGTTGTGTGGCCAAATATGTCAAAAACATTTGAGATACATTAGGCAAGTTTTTACATTTCTGTGTAGTTTAATCTCCCCAATAGTAGGGTCTTTTATTATAAGTTGCATTTTTTGAAACTTAAATCATCAGGTGTTAAGTCGAGAGCCCATGCCTTTTAGGGGAGGCTTCTAAGTGTAAAATGGCATTTGATCTCTCTATTCATTGATTGAAGTTGATTGAGATGTTATTTGAGTTTAAACTGATTGCAAGCAGTTTTAGCTGATTAAGACGTTATTTCAGTCCATTTCATTGACTATGATTGAAGTTGAATTAGATGTTATTTGAGTCTAAACTGACTGCAAGTAGTTTTAGCTGATTAAGACGTTATTTCAGTCCATTTCATTGACTATGATTGAAGTTGAATTAGATGTTATTTGAATCCAAACTGACTGCAAGCAGTTTTAGCTGATTAAGAAGTTATTTCATTCCATTTCATTGACTGTGATTGAAGTTGAATTAGATGTTATTTGAGTCTAAACTGACTGCAAGCAGTTTTAGCTGATTAAGACGTTATTTCAGTCCATTCCATTGTGATTGAAGTTGATTGACAACGTTATGTCGTAAATAAAGTCAGTTGACAAAGCCAACTTTTTAAAATGCACAATAATTTAGTGTATGAAGTTAAAAGCAATAAAAAAAAACTAAAAAACTGTACACGTTTCAGTGGAACATGCTCCGCCATCTTCAGGAGACAAGAAAGACAAAAAAGAAATTGATTTGTATATCTTAGTAAATGTACAGTGGCGCCGTTTACAAAATTGATTTGTATATCTTAGTAAATGTACAGTGGCGCCGTTTACAAAATTGATATGTATATCTTAGTAAATGTACAGTGGCGCCGTTTACAAAATTGATTTGTATATCTTAGTAAATGTACAGTGGCGCCGTTTACAAAATTGATTTGTATATCCTTAGTAAATGTACAGTGGCGCCGTTTACAAAATTGATTTGTATATCTTAGTAAATGTACAGTGGCGCCGTTTACAAAATTGATTTCCAGAAATTTAATAATTTTGTTGTCAGCAATTTCTAATGATTCTCTAATATTTAATTCATTTTTTTTACTTTACTTCTTTATACATTGTTCCAATAAATGTTTTTTTTATTGCTTTTATCTTTATAAAATAGATTATTGTGCATTTTAAAACGTTGGAGTCGTCAACTGATTTTATTAAATCCTTGTATAAAAAAGAAATATATAATTAAAACCGCATAGACGACAAAGATATCAAAATCTAATAATAGTTTGAACAATCACCTATTTTCGTATATTTTTATTTTATAGAAGGATGACGCGTCGAGCTAGCGCCCTTCGTCAGATCGTACAGCTTACAACAAAGGCGCATGCGCATAATCCAAAGAAATTGCGTGCGTAGTACTTGGAATGTTGAGAGTGAAAATTCTGGGCAAAATTACATCTATTACATAAAAATTACAAGTCTGGAAAGGAGATGAATCTACAACCTTGGAACCCTACAACCATATGGTTCAAATGAACGCCTTTCTTTCCTGCAGATTTTTATTTTCCATTTTCTATTCAAATTTTAATTGCTATCTGTTTTATCTTTTCATAAGTTTTTAGCACCAACATGTGTGTCTACACCTGCATGGGAACGATTCCAAGGGTTTCTAGCATTTCGTCAGCTTTCCACACGAAGTCTGCATTCTTACCTGACTTTGGGAGTTTGTCTCTACTTTCAAGATTAGAGCCCGGCATGGCCAGGTGGTTAGGGCGCTCGACTCGCAATCTGCGTGTCGCAGGTTCGAATCCCCGTCACACCAAACATTCTCACTCTTTCAGCCGTGCGGGCGTTATACTGTGATGATCAGTCCTACTATTCGTTGATAAAAGAGAAGCCCAAGAGTTGGCGGTGGGTGGTGATGACTAACTGTTTTCCCTCTAGTCTTACACTCCTAAATTAGGGACCGCTAGCGCAGATAGCTTTCGTATAGCTTTGCCGGAAATTTATAACAAACCAATCAAGATTAGATGTTTGTTTTGCATAATAACATATCAAAATCAACATACATTTATAAGATAAGGGAAGAAGGACAGTTATATTTTGTTGGAGAAATATTACAGTAAATTTCTGTCTAAGAATAATCCAGTATGGAGCTGAACTTGGCGTAATGGTTCGCGAGCAGGACTATGGATCAGCAGGTTCAGGATTCGCGTCAGATTAGTGCAAAAATAAAATTTAAAAATTGCGTTCCGCACTTTGAGGCCATGGTTGTGATAAAAGTGATGGTCAGATCCTATTATTCAGTCAGAAAAGAGTAGCCCAAGAGTTGGCGGTGGGCTCTGTTGGTTAGGTGCCTTCCCTATAGTCTATCATTTCAAAACTAGGGACAGCTAGCGATATTAGCTCTTGACTAGTTTTAAGCAAATAACCGAAAACAAATAAATACTAAGCTAGTATAATCAGGCCTCAACATATTATTTTTAATAAGGAAATATTAAGCATGTAATGAGTACATCGGGCCACTGTTAGTGTTATCCTTAACTACCTATTGTACGTTAGGATAATACAAACTCATTAGTTATGTTTTATATTAAATTAGTATCTCGTAATACTAGAACTGTATTCACTCGTGTTGATTTTTTTATTATATATCAGGTCAATGTCTCATTGTAATAATTTATGAATCTAATTATATCATTCGGCTACTTCTGAAACCTTAGTTACTTACCACGTATTTGGGAGTTGTGGATTTGGCGCCTTGTAAGTTAGTTAAGAGTGAGTTCTGTAATTACTCTCTTTTTTTGCATTATTTAATTAGATTACTTTAAAGTATTACAGTGTGAATTTCATTGTATCAGTATCATGTCGTTGTTATATATATATATATATATATATATATATGTATGTGTGTGTGTGTGTGTGTGTATACTATAGTAGGTTAAC